GACCTAAACTAATGATCTAAATCCCTAAAACATGAAAAAAACCTCGGAACACCTTAGTTTCGGTCCAAATATAGCTGTAACAAATTATCAGGTCCCTGTGCATGTAACATGTCGAAAATGTCGAATTTCAACCGCAATATGTGAGAGCATCTTTATATTCAAAACCGTTTCGAGATTTGTTTCTTAAAACGTATTTATATTAGGGTTATTAACTGTTAGCCGGTTAACCGGTTAATAGTCGGACATCCATTAATTAACCCATGTGTGGCCCCTTGCTTAACTGGCTTTACGTCTCTGGGCGATGAGACCCAAAATAGTTCAGACTTCGATGTCCTTTTGATAGAAGACAAGGAGGAAACCAACCCGAACTTACATGTGACATAACACGAACATTTTACACTGAAAATAAACCGTTCAACGAAGCTCTTATGTCTACAAGTAAATATATATAGCGATACTCGTCACAATTCTCTTCGAAACACAAATTACAATTTTGATCCAGACGATCGAGGTACCATCCCATCGGCCATTTTCTATGAATAGGTGTATATTAGGTTTAGTTCCCAAATTATTTAAATAGCACAGGTTCAACCTTTACCCGTTTGTGTCATTAATATTTTAAAACTAATTCCAGAAGATTTACTGATTCCGTGGCAATACATAAACAACTGATAAAGAAACATTGACTGCCATTAGATACAGAAAGATTTTGCCAAGACAAGCCAATTCAACATTTAATCACTAGGTCCGTCCATATTTCATAACGAATTCGCAACATGGTCCAACCGTTTTCATCGCGTTAAACGAAAGTACGTTTTTCGGGGAAAAAACTTGCTCCATTTTTGTAATCGTGTTTATTATGAAATAACATACATGTATTTGTCCTATTGATTACGTATATCATCCATCAATTGATTATAAGCGTTGGTTATTAGTACAAACCAACGACTGCTAGTGCTATGTCCAAACAGTACATTTCGTACCAAATATATGAACCCGCTTAACTCGAACACTCGGATAACTCGAAGTTTTCCTACGGTCCCGTCGACTTCGAGATAACGAGGTTCGACTGAATATGACATTGGACAGGCATGTTAATTTAATCCAATCCAATGTTATTACTTACAAAATAACGCGCTAAAAGATGCAAAAAAATATGAAGAATCCCCGTACCATTGCCAAAAACCTGTGACGATGCATGGGGAACTCCTTCCGGTAAGACTATAGCTTAAATAAAACATTTCTGAAAAGAAAAACAGACCTTGTTGGACTTTTATAGAGAAATAAATTTTAATTTTGAAAAAAATATAATAATAAAAACAAAAACAGCGTTCTGAATGATAAATGCAACGGGGTCGGAACATGACTCGAATCCAGGACCTACGATCATGTTATATACTTTATCGGTTCGAGTCGTTTGGGCTGCCTGTATCGCGATACACTAACATTACTTAAGTTATCAATATTTGTTTATCCAACTCTAATCAAGTGGTTTTTTTTAGTTTTTAATCCTTTAGTAAATTACATTACATCTCCAGCACACACGCAGGCATACACACATAGGGAGATATTAGCCAGGTGGCATAGGACTAGTAGTTAGCGCCTGGTAAGGCAGTTCCTGCGAATTACTCAAAATTGTATTGATTAATGTATATGCTAGTTGTATTAATTGTATATCTATGTACTGTTAAGCGTTTTAGAGTGGCTTATGTTAGCTAGATAGGGCGCTATATCAAATGTTGTATATCATTATTATTATGTTATTAAATATGTGGCCCACTGCGCAGTCATACCCTAAATTCTAAAATGTTCAGTTTCAAAGTCTATTCAGTTGGCGTAGCTTTAAATTCAGTTTTGATGTTTCCTCAGTTGCTGCTGGTTTTTTAAAAGTTTATGCTGGTATACTGTCTTCTCAGTTGACGTGATTTTTATTAAACGTAATGTTGTTGTCTATGCAGTTGCTGTTGTCTTTCCTCTTGTTTTGATGTCTCGTTTCCTTCTGCCGTTGTATTGAATTTAGGGATGTTGTTTCGGCAGTTCCGTTTGTTCTTTTGAATCAACTGTTGATTTCCGCTTTTATCTTTTATTTTTATTTATTTTTTCTAAATCAGTTCAGAAATCAGTTAAAAAGAAACAGAAGAAAATCGTTTTTCCATTCATCTGAATATTTTCTCTCCCTGGCTTTGAAACCACAAACACGCGAATTCCGGTTGCATTGACCAGAACGTATGTATATATATCAAATTTAAATGTTAAGAATTCCAAAACGACAAACAGAAGCTGTTCATCGTGCTATGTATTAGTGTGTAGATATAACGGCGAGGAAACTAAACACGACCAACCAAGCGTACATACACGAACACGTTAAAAGTCATAAAACACCCTTAGATAAGTTAACATCGGGTATTTGTGGATATTTGCGATATTTCCCCTTCGAAATTGTCTCCTCTGTACCTATCGGAGTTCTTTTCTTTCTGGATTCCGAATGTGTTTTTGTGTATTGGTGCTTGGTCATATTTTGCTTTCACCAAGACGACCGGGGTTCGATTCCCCGATCGGACATGAAAAGGTATGGGGTCACCTGTCCGACAACGTGGGTTTTCTCCGGGTACTCAAGTTTCCACCCACAATAGACCCCCGTGCGTTAACATTTGCACCAAGCACAGTGCTAGATATACATTTAAATAGCACGTTTAATAATTGTTTAATTGTTACATCTATGCTCATTTATGGACGTGCCAGGTTTCTGGTGGCGCAGGACAACCGGATCACCCTGCTGGTTTATGTGCTGACACCTGTACTGTTCTTGTACACACGCGAGCCTGTTGTCATATGTCGCACTTGTCTTACCTTGTCGTGACCATATAAGGTGTGATTGTTCTAATTATAGGTGTTGCCTCGTTTTGATCAGTGCTTAGGTCAGTTTTCTTTGTTACGTGCTTAGCGTGGTTTTAGCATTCATTTATATATATAGAGAGAGAGAGCTATTTGGTTGATATATTTGATATCCAGGGGTTTCAAGTCTTCCAAGATCCGACCCATATAGTTGGACGTTATATATGTAATAGGAGTGGGAAAATGCACGGCCATGAGACAATGTTCTCGATTTCGGACTACTTCCGGTGGGCAACATTTCATTTGTTTTAAATAATAATTGAAAATATTGAGAATATTTTAGATACGACAGGACCAGAAAATCAATCTTGAACCGCTCGCATGAATTTGAACTCTTCAAATATCGCAGGAGTGCTTTGTAAAGAGAAAAATGAATGAAAATAACATTATAATTTTACGACATGTAGTCAGGTGCAGTAGGCTTAACCTTTCAACATATAAAGTCGGCTATAATAGCAGAAACGCACGTCTAGCAGCTGAGGTGTGGAAGGAGAAATTGGCAACATAGTTTACTGGTGACCCCAGCACGTGCAATTTGTAGTGTGACTAATGAACTATACGCTACATATCGCACGTGCGTATGGTCGACCAAGAATTGTAAGAATTCCGGAAGCATTGGTGTGAAGTCGACAACAATGGCAACGGTAAACAATATACGACCATAATATAACATCAATCAGGCCGTAAATAACACTAGGTTATCATCCCGGCTCTTATTTTAGAACAAACGAATTTGTACCTGACAAGGAATTCGATTTATCGGTGTTGTGGTCCGATGATTTAAGGTGTAATATCTCGAGGGTCTTGATGATACTTTTTTGGGTGGTGAGTTCCGAGTTATGACCGATAAGATGGGCCCCGGGAATTGTTGAGGAGTTTATATAAACTTTATTTATTTTACAACAATTATGAAACAAGTTATTTCAACTTATAATAATCACTCTTGTTGGTCCAGATGCTAGCGCGGGAGGGGGATGTCTTAATATGGGAGGAAACCGGAGTACCTGGAGAATATCCACGTGGTTGGGCAGGTGACCAATTAAATGTATTCCGCGCATCCCCCCCCCCCCCCCCCCCCCCCCCCCCCCTCCCGTATTTCTTATGTAATAATACGTATATTCTCTACCGTGTGTGACGTCACGCTATCGCTATAGAAGGGACTGCCAGAGAATTGTACACATCTCGTCAAATTTTCAAAGTGATACAATCTATATCCAACAATGTATACATAATCAAGGGCAACCTAAGTTCCATGCGCTCTATAACATAAGCTGACATATCGCGAGACGATGTCTGCAGCATCTTCAATAAGAACCAGCCGGTGTCTGAAACTTATCGACACGTTTAATACGTACTGTGCATTGCTTGAGTTTAAAGTAAAACTTTGATATGTATATTTTGCAACAATTTTATTTTTCAGAAGGTTGTAAAATGTTGTGGTCAGCGATGCATTTCATTGCTGGATTTATTTTTATAGTACAGGAATATTTTTATAGCATAGGAATATTTTTCACTTAAATTTTGTATTATATTGATATAGCGTTAAATTCCTGTGGCTTATAGGCCTAGCACACAGTGGAGTGATGAGCCCCACCGCTTACACTCAGTGTCCTATATCACCGCATAAAACTACACCACACGGGTAATACATGACTCATGGAATGTAGCTGAACTCTGTATCAAAGCTTTCACTGGAAATAACGTTGGCATATCAATCTGATCAGCGAAATTACCTCAAGATCGTAATGACTAACACAAGGAAACTATCATTTATTTCCGATATACATCGGCCAGTTAGACTATACTTAATTCTTTGTGTCTCATACTACAGTTTTTGAAAAAATGTTTTTTTTTTCATTTTTTTTTTCCATTTTTTTTCGGGGGGTTGGTTCGATGTATTTCGCATTTCTCTCTACTTCTAACTACATTTTGCTTCTTAACGCATTGCTTGGCAATACCGACTTTTGACTCTAATGTTGAACGTTCGCCCAGGTCAGCTGGACACTTGGCTCTGGCCCTAGGCCGGGACATACCGAAGTCCTTGAAAATGGTAGTTATAATTCCCTGCTTAACATTCAGCATTTTGGGCAATGGCAACAACTGGTTCACCCGTTGTCAGTACGATGTGACCGTGAGGAATGCTGTACTGAGGTTTTCGGCATGGCAGCACTATAATTTCGGCATCAGATCACAAATACAAATACACAAACATATACCCTGCCTCCAACACACATGCAGATACGTCATTCAATGCTTTTAGCTGTTAGTTTAAACTTTATTTTATTGATGTTTAATTACAATAGTACATGGTTATAAATACAGAAAAGGATCCAGAAACAAGTACAAAGTACTTATGTAAATCCGTCTCCTTATTTAGCTGTTAACACTTTCATCCCTACGTAACTTTAGTAGACTCTCCAATGTATTGATATGGATGAGTCTATTATGGTCTACAGTGGTGAAAGGGTTAATAGGACGGTAAACCTTCACAACCTTGTAATACCAACCAAAATAGTTATCATCACAGCCTACATACCATGATTAAATACTCGATCACATTATCTCAGGTTTGGTTTGGTTTGGTTTAGTACTGTTTAACGTCCTATCAACAGCTATAGTCATTTAATGACGGCCTCCCCTGTGTGCAAAATGCATGCGTGTAGTGTTGCGTGTGTGTTTTGGGAGGCTGAGAAATGTTCGTGTTTGTCTCCTTGTGATAGCGCGGAACTGATGCCGACTTTATAGTGCTACCTCACTGAAACGTACTGCCGAAGACACCCAGCAGGACACCCCGCCCGGTCACATTATACTGACAACGGGCGAACCAGTCGTCCCACTCCTAATTTGCTGAACGTTATCTCAGGTAGTTCAGATTCATATTTTCTATTCGTTATGTTTCAGGACATGTCACAGAAGTTGTGAAAAATAGTATTTTACAATGACATACATTATAATTACAATCATACATCATATTACACTGCCAGTGAAACACATCATAATCCTTTACAGTATATTGAAATGTCACGCATTATAACAATACATCATATTACAATGAACACCGTACAATCGAGAACAGTATAATACAATGTCATACATTAAAACAATGCATCACATTACAATGAACACCGTACAATCGAGAACAGTATAATACAATGTCACACATTATAACAATACATCATAGTACAATGAACACAGTACAAGCGAGAACAGTAAAAATACAATGACATACACCCTAAATGTACAGTATACTGTAAAGGATTATAATTACAATCATACATCATATTACACTGCCAGTGAAACACATCATAATCCTTTACAGTATATTGAAATGTCAGGCATTATAACGATACATCATATTACAATGAACCCAGTACAATCGAGAACAGTATGATACAATGTAATACATTATAACAATACATCATAGTACAATGAACACAGTACAATCGAGAACATTATAATACAATGTCATACATTATAACAATACATCATATTACAATGAACACAGTACAATCGAGAACAGTAAAAATACAATGACATACACCCTAAATGTACAGATGAATAAAATATTACATTGTTAAACTACAATAAAGCGGTTTAAACAGCAGAAATCATTATCATTTATAAAAATAACATAAGCTATTATCTTTTAGCCTTATACAATGAATAGCATGATAAATATTGCCTAAAAAATCCCGATACGGTTAGACAGTAAAGCGCAAGTCATGTGCCACGTGTGGTATAGGGCTCCTACTCTTTTGACATCCCCCCTTGTTTCTCGTTCCGCTTCCGGTGTTTTATTAGTGTTCATTCAATCGAGAAAATGTTATGGTGAGCTTATGCCACACCGCAGCGTCTGTCGTCCGTCCTTCCGTCAACTTTTCCTTTAAAACGCTACTTGTCCTGAACCGCATAACAGATTATGACTAAATTTTGTCTGGAGCGTCCTTGGGCCAAGGGGACTTCATTTTGTATAAATGGTGGGTGTGGCCCACCTGGGGACAGAGGGGCGTGGCACAATAGGGGAAATAGAGGTAAAACCTTGAAAATCCTTCTTCTACCGTAGGGATTAAGGGATTTTATCCTAATTTAGTCTGGGGCATCCTTGTGCCAAGGGGACTTTTTTTTTTTTTTTATAAATGATGGGTCTGGTCCCCCAGGGGGCTGAGGGGCGTGGCCCAATAGGGGAAATATAGCAAATTCTCTAGTATCCTTCTTCTTCTGTAGGAATGAAGGATTTGTTCCATATTTTGTCTGAAGCATCCTTGGGTGAAGGGGAACCAATTTTGTATAAACCATAGGTCTGGCCTCTCAGGGGCCTGAGGGGCGGGGCCCAATAATGGAAACATAGCAAATTATTCTTTAAAATCCTTCTTCTTCTGTAGGAATGAAATGAGTTGGTCCATATTTGGTGTGAAGCATCCTTGGGTAAAGAGGGACCAATTTTGGATAAACAGTGGGTGTGACCCCCTGGGACCTGAGGGGCGGGGCCCAATAGGAGAAATAGAAGTAAAACCTTTATAGTCCTCCTACCATAGTGATTAAGGGATTTTATCCTAACTTAGTCTTGAACATCCTTTGGCAAAATGGACTCAATTTTGTATAAACAGTGAGTGTGGCCCTCCTGGGGGCAGAAGGGAGGGGCCCAATAGGGGAAACATAGCAAATTCTTCAAATACCTTCTTCTATAGGGGGTCTAATTGTTTGTATAATTGGTGGGTATGACCCCCCCCTAGGGGCATAGGGATGGGGCTCTGTTTGAAGTTTGTTCTCATTATATCTCAAGTACTGGATGGATCTTTCTGAAATTTTATATGTACTTACAGCACCTACCATGGGGTGCTATACCTTACTTCATACCAATTATTTTAAACATATTCAGGTGAGCGATACAGGCCCTCTGGGCTCCTTGTTTGTCTACGGAAAGTGCCGACAGTTCCCGATTAGTATTCATCCTGTCTTTTGCTTCGTTTTGGTGTTGTCATCTTTCAGTGTCGACCTCAGAGTTTCGATGATTGGAGCGTTGTTATCCAAATTGACAGTTTTTACTACGCAAACCAGATACCATGTACTAGATACTAAATGATCGCGAACAATACATGTTGATTAAATATGATTTCAAGCTTTCTGTTTTTGCACTAGAATGTGCCCCGTGTATCTATCTCAGTTGTCCATACTCAATCACCTTTCTACATTGTTTTCCTGAGGAATCCGCGTATTTAGAACTTGAATTTGAGGTATGCTTAAACTCCGAGATATGTTTCATTGTTTTGACGTATGTAAGGCGGGTTTGGGTAATGTGTTGGCGCGAACACACACAAGTAATTTGAAAGAGAACACATTTACAGAGAGAATTCCTTTAATAAAAACACGCCAGCTATGCAGAAACACGTTTTATATATCTTTCAAGTTTGTAAGTAAACAATTAAAACTTGCCGCATTTACAGCAAAATCTTATTGTATGACGTTTGATACACTTCGAATGTTAAACGTAACTTCGGTACATTTCTAAATTTCTGCATTTCTACCTATGTTTTCGGTAACTTTTGACATGTCTTTTCGTTCTTTCCACCTTATTAAATATAAACTTTATTCATTTTACAACAATTAAGAAACAGGTTATTTCAACTTATATTAATCATTCTTGTTGGCCCGGATGTTAGCGCACGGAGGGTATTATTGTGGAAGGAAACCGGAGTACCCGGAGTAAACCCACGTCATCTGGCAGGTGACCCGATACCTTTTCACGTCCGATCAGAGAATCGAACCCCAGCCGCCTTGGTGAAAGGCAAGTGCGCTATCCAAGGCACCACCAAAATGTACAAAAAGGCGATATTGTGCATGTAGTAAAAATAATACTATGTTTGCTTCTTGTATCAATAATAATATTTTTTTATTATAGATGCATGAATGATATTTCTATTTAAATAGTTCAAGTTCAAGTTGTTCATAATTTTGAGTCTTTCGACTCATCAATTTCAAAGTATCAAAAGTGCGATATTTGCATAATACAAAATAACATTACACAACATTACACACACTCACAACACAATTACAAAACGACACAGTATCACGTGTTTAATGATTGGGTTCTTCTCGTATTGGCAATTGTATATATTTCCCAAAGTTTGTTTCTTCTTTCGTATCCCTAGTGACTAAATACCAGAAATACCCTCTGGTCAGTTTTAAGTAGATTTTATTTATTTGTTGAGGTTGTTGTAATTTGTCTGTACTAAATGATTCTAGGTTTTATTTTATCTTTTTTGAGGCTGTTATATATTTTGTCTGTATATGATGATGTTTTTGCGTTGCGTGTTGTGTTGTGTTGTGTTGTAGCGTGTAGTGTGCTAACGTGTTGTGTGCTAACGTGTTGTGTTCTAGCGTGTTGTGTTTAAGCGTGTTGTGTTGAAGCGTGTTGTGTTGTAGAGTGTTGTGGTCTAGCGTATTGTGCTCTAGCGTGTTGTGGTGTAGCGTGTTGTGTGCTAACGTGTTGTGTGCTAGCGTGTTGTGTTCTAGCGTGTTGTGTTGTAGCGGGTTGTGCTGTAGCGTGTTGTGTTCTAGCGTGTTGTGCTCTAGCGTGTTTTGTGCTAACTTGTAGTGTTCTAGCGTGTTGTGTTCTAGCGTGTTGTGTTCTAGAGTGTTGTGTTCTAGCGTGTTGTGTTCTAGCGTGTTGTGTGCTAACTTGTAGTGTTCTAGAGTGTTGTGTTCTAGCGTGTTGTGTTCTAGCGTGTTGTGTGCTAACGTGTAGTGTTCTAGCGTGTTGTGTTCTAGCGTGTTGTGGTGTAGCGTGTTGTGCTGTAGCGTGTTGTGTTCTAGCGTGTTGTGTGCTAACGTGTAGTGTTCTAGCGTGTTGTGTTCTAGCGTGTTGTGTGCTAACGTGTAGTGTTCTAGCGTGTTGTGTTCTAGCGTGTTGTGGTGTAGCGTGTTGTGCTGTAGCGTGTTGTGTTCTAGCGGGTTGTGCTCTAGCGTGTTGTGTGCTAACTTGTAGTGTTCTAGTGTGTTGTGTTCTAGCGTGTTGTGTTCTAGCGTGTTGTGGTGTAGCGTGTTGTGTGCTAACTTGTTGTGTTCTAGCGTGTTGTGTTCTAGCGTGTTGTGTGCTAACGTGTAGTGTTCTAGCGTGTTGTGTTCTAGCGTGTTGTGTTCTAGAGTGTTGTGTTCTAGCGTGTTGTGTTCTAGCGTGTTGTGTTCTAGCGTGTTGTGTTTTAGCGTGTTGTGGTCTAGCGTGTTGTGCTCTAGCGTGTTGTGGGGTAGCGTGTTGTGTGCTAACTTGTAGTGTTCTAGCGGGTTGTGTTCTTGCGTGTTGTGTTCTAGCGTGTTGTGTTTTAGCTGGTTGTGGTCTAGCGTGTTGTGCTCTAGCGTGTTGTGGGGTAGCGTGTTGTGTGCTAACTTGTAGTGTTCTAGAGTGTTGTGTTCTAGCGTGTTGTGTTCTAGCGTGTTGTGTGCTAACGTGTAGTGTTCTAGCGTGTTGTGTTCTAGCGTGTTGTGGTGTAGCGTGTTGTGCTGTAGCGTGTTGTGTTCTGCGTGTTGTGCTCTAGCGTGTTGTGTGCTAACTTGCAGTGTTCTAGCGTGTTGTGTTCTAGCGTGTTGTGTGCTAACGTGTAGTGTTCTAGCGTGTTGTGTTCTAGCGTGTTGTGTTGTAGCGGGTTGTGCTGTAGCGTGTTGTGTTCTAGCGTGTTCTGCTCTAGCGTGTTGTCTGCTAACTTGTAGTGTTCTAGCGTGTTGTGTTCTAGCGTGTTGTGGTGTAGCGTGTTGTGTGCTAACTTGTAGTGTGCGAGCGTGTTGTGTTCTAGCGTGTTGTGTTCTAGCGTGTTGTGTTTTAGCGTGTTGTGGTCTAGCGTGTTGTGCTCTAGCGTGTTGTGGTGTAGCGTGTTGTGTGCTAACTTGTTGTGTTCTAGCGTGTTGTGTTCTAGCGTGTTGTGTTGTAGCGTGTTGTCCTGTAGCGTGTTGTGCTGTAGCGTGTTGTGTTCTAGCGTGTTGTGTTCTAGCGTGTTGTGGTGTAGCGTGTTGTGTGCTAACGTGTTGTGTTCTAGCGTGTTGTGTTTTAGCATGTTGTGTTCTAGCGTATTGTGTTGTAGCGTGTTGTGTTCTAGCGTGTTGACGCTGTGGTAGATTTTGTTCTCGTGCATTATGTCGACATAAAGTCTGTCCATGTTGCTCAGATGTAGTAGACTGATTTTGATTTTGTATAATGTGCACTAATGTGTTGACACTGTGGTGCCTTTTGTAGTTGTATATTGACACCAATATTGTATTTCAGAATAATTCAACTACAATGTTCTCCCTCCATTATTTCGCACAAAGTAAACATTTGTAGTAAAGAAATACCTTACATTTCGGAACATCCGGTATTGTCTCTGTTTCTGGTTTCTGATTTTTCCCCCCCCCCCCCCCGTTGTCCTAGAGAAAGCTTAGGGAATAAAAACGGGTGCCTTGAGAGATACCGTCAAAAGATACCGTACGGTAGTGAGAACAGAGGCGATAGAGATGTGTGAAGAAATCAATCGGTTACACGTCATATAAGAAATGCTGCCCCGGATGTTATATAGTCAATACGTAGGGTTTTCTAAAGAAGGGAGTTAACTCAGCATCTCTTGCATATTTATGTTAGACCTAAATAGACTAAAGAAGATATGAAATAGTTTTTGTTTGCTTGGAGTTTATAAAATAAATCTTCGCAGCAGTAACAAATATATTAAGACGGCCCGGGTGCCTCGGGCGACACCACCGGGAAAAAAAGAGTAAGGACGTGATCAAAGAAATGAAATAGCTCACATTTGTTGCAGTGGGTAAGTATTAATTTTCAGTCTTTAATGTCTCTTAATAAAAAAAAAAAACAGACTCCCACCCACGACCCCGACTCCGCACGGAGCATCACATTAGTCGCCTCTTACAATAACATGCAGTGGTATACAGCAGGTCATTTTCTTTTCCCGAACTAACAAGGGTTTCTGGTGTAATTGTTTCACATCCACATTGAGTTTAAAGTTCATATAGTATATTGTTTCTAGTTTGCATGTGTAACCGATTTTGGTTTCTTTAATGTTCACCTAGCAGAAAACAGACGAAAATGTGGCGAGGGTCTTATAGCATGTGTAACAGGAGAAAGAGAAAATGTAACGTTCGAATCAGGGACCCTCCGAACTCGAGACGGACGCTCTACAAATTAAGGTACCTGCTCGCTGACGATCGACCCAGTCCAGTTACGCTACATTCCTCCTTTCTTTTTCGCCCCCGAAGACACAACCATTTACAACCCGAGTTCGGGTATCCCTTCGCTAAGCGTACCCCGATGCTTGAAACAAGGGTTAGCAAGCTTGTCATTTTTGTAATAGGAGAAAGAGAATTGCCACGGCCAGATCGGGGTTCGAACCCGGGACTCTCCGAACTCTAGACGGACTCTACCAATTGAGCTACATGTATCTGGTCATCGACGATCGACACAGTCCAGTTCCGCTAAAGCATACAGTGGGACAAAGCAATGTTACCGCTGTACATAGACTTTATGTTTACGGTTCATTGCTTTCTTGCTTACTCATGTGCAACCTAACCAGGCTTGGTACGTGCAGGAAGTACATTTTACGTAAACATGATTTGCCATAAACTATCACCTTGTTTTACAGGCAATTTGAATTCCTTGTAACACATCGAACACATAGTGCTAAACAATTCCAGAAAAAATGCCGCTGCCAACCGTCGAAAACAAGAACGTTAACATTTCCACGCCCCAAAAATGTAAAATATCTCCAATTTATTTGATTTAAAATAGAAAAACACGTGCACAGAAAACGAACATACTTTATCAATAAAATCCGGAATTTACATGCGACGCCATAGTTTTATTATAAGAAAGTAAATTGAACTTAATGTTACGGTAATAGTTGAAAATAAATACTCATGAACTCCAGAACGTGTTTTGTTTTAGTTAAAGTGTGTACCTAATAGCGAGAGGCGGGTCGTGTGTGTTAGTGCTAGGCTATTTATACGCTCACGTGCGTTAATTGCATTTCATCGAGGTACGCAGTAAAGTCTTATGTCTATCAGGCTGATTGCACTGGCACTCGATCGTCTTAAATAATGGACTCCCGAGAGTAACTAAAAGAGACGTTAATCGTCAAAAGAAGATTAAATCAGAGGGGTCAACTGAAATCATGATAATATAAAGTTTATTTATATAACGACATTGATGAAACAAGTTATTTCAATTTACATTAATCCCTTCTGTTGGCCCAGATGTTAGCGCGCGGTGGGTCTTAGTGTGGGAGTTAACCGGAGTACCCGAAGAGAACCCACATGTTCGGGCAGGTGACCCCAAACCTTTTCACGTCTGATCTGGGAATCAAATCCCGTCCGCTTTGGTAAAAGGAGAGTGAATTTCCACTACGCCACCAGACCACCCATTGTAATCAAGAATCAAATTGTTGTTCGGTATCATTAAAAGGAATGTATTCCAAATAGAGTCCAAATGGAAAAAATACTCGTCAAATTCATGAATCAGGGCAAATGGGTCGATCTAGTTGCTATTAGGTATTATACTGATCACAAGAAAAAATACCCCTACTCATAATGTATCAACGATGGGGCCACAAAGGAGTTATTCTTCAAAATAATAAATAAACAGCAGAGGGCATAAGATAATATGGACGACAAAATACTTTCTCTAATTAATGAAACAACGATAGCGGCACCAAATGGCGTTATTTATCCTTATAATGTCTCAACAATAGGGGCCAAAAGGGGCGTTACTTTACGTAATGATGAATGAACAGCAGGGGGCATAAGACATTAGGGACCTCAAAATACGTTTCTCTCCGTATAGTATATCAACAATAGGGCCAACGAAGTGGGTTACTTATCCTACTTATATATCAACAAAAGGGGCCACAGGGGGCGTTACCTTTGCTAATAATGAATTACCAATAGTGTAGTTATCGAAAACATGTATATGCTATACGACACTTTATTACATACTTACTAATAAATACGGGTTTTTGTATATGCGATACGACACAATTGCTCTATTCCATATCAGCCCTCGCCGTATCACACCCCAAAACCCGTGTCAGCCCCGCCGTATCACACCTCAAAACCCGTATCAGCCCTCTCCGTATCAGCCCGCAAAACCCGTGTCACACCCCTTTTGGACATCTTTCGTTTTTCAATATTTCAAAAGAAAAACAGATCATAAGATAGTAGTTTTTATTAGTAAGTATATAATAAACAGAATAAAACACGCATTTTTCCATATCACACCCAGTATCAACCCTCGACCAATATCAGCCCTCGGGTTTTCGGCCCTTGAGCTGATATTGCAGTTTCGGGTTGATACTGGGTGTGATATGGAAAAAGACATGTATTATTCTCTATTTATCATACACTTTTCCGTGACACGGATTGTTTTGCATGTGTGATACAGCTAGCTGTGCATAGGCCATATCCAAGACCAATCCATATCCGTCCGGCACGCGCCATTTCCGCTTCACTTCCGGTTGAACACTTTTAAGAAAAATCGCATCTCAGATTGGTAGTATGATGTTCCGTTCGCATGGCGTATATAAGGTAGAATGTTATTATTGCTAAACTCAACTAATATCAGTTTTCTGCCATAATAACCTCTAATTATCACATTGAGTGTCATTTGGGATGATATTAATGAAATAATATTTCAACACACTCGGCAATATGTTCTAGATTCACATATGGAATACAAGGAGAAGGCAAGGCAACAGAGGCACGGGAAGTGATGAACATTAGAAAAGCAGAGTGTTCTGAATAGTGGACAGTGTTACTAGTGCCGTCTGTAATCTTGTATATATATATTTCATTATGTTTTTGGGAAAGGGCTTAACATAAGTTGGACAACTTGTGCCCAATCCCATTTTGTATATTAGATGCATATAAAAATCAGTTTAAATCATTGAGTTGAACCGAAAAAACTTTTGGTGAACAATAGGTGTGTCAGAAACACTCGAATGAATGGAATGGGCAAAACAACGATAACAAGTTATAACCGCGATTTTTGGTGTACATATGATGTACATGTTATAAAATATGTATAGGTACGAAAGTTAATATAGTTATAATGTTAAGAATTATTTGAAATACACAAAAACACCGGGAAATTTTCGCCGCAAATTAATTTTTCGCCTTGTTCTCCCTCCGTAATGTGGACGAATTAATCATTACATTGAACAGTAATAAACAACATAACAAACATAGAAACTAAATGTGAAGGGCGAAGTTAATACTCGGCGAATATGGATTTTACCGGCGAAGGGCGAAAATTAGTCTGAGCGAAAATTTCCCGGAATACAGTATTTTCATCCTCCTGAAGGTTTGGTAAAGTATTGCCTGCTGTATCCCACTGCATGATGTAAGAGACGATAAAGTTGAGTCCCCTGCAGGTTTTTTTCTGTCTTCTGCGAAGGAAACTGGGGAAACCGAAATGGTATTGGGGCAACCATTGTAATACTTGGAATCTGTGTTGTTTCTTTTTTTTTGCTTCTTTACTCTTTCTTTTTTTGTGACGGCGCTCAAGCCACCTGTTTTTATATGACTTTAACAACTGTGAGCACGATTAACCACAAACACACACGGTTTCATTTCTTCTATGTTCTTTTCAGTTTTAAGCTTAAATATCAAAAGAGATGATGAGTGAACTCTTTTGTTTACGGTAACCCGATTTAATGGCTATAAAACATCCGGTGTTGTAATTCATTTCTGACGCGTATCAAAGATTGTATACTTCTCGTGTCTACTTTGGTTAATTAAACAAAAAACAATTGATATTTCCACATTACCCAAATTCTAGTTTGTTCTTGAACGTTGTAATTAAAACAGTAAAATAGCACAGAATGTATTAGTTGTTTTTATCGAGTTTATTTACAGATATGAAGAATTGGCACAAACAACGTAACTTCCTAAAGGAACAATCGGATTCCTATGTAGTTACAGGGAACACTAGGTCTGCTGTTTACGCGTATCTCACAAGAGGCGACCAAAGAGCACGTTTGAGGAGACATTGACCAAACAGAATAAACTAATCTGCTACCCCGTGTGCAAAACTGGCATTTTTTATATATTTTTTTCGACGATCTGTTCTTTCTTTTTCAGCTGTTATTCCTACGCTTCCGTCTTAATATGACTTCAGATG